TGTTCTGCATTATTCACTAGGATTTACAAAACTAAATCAAGCTAAATCAGGTGTGATTACTTTTTTTCCTATGGAAGTGTGCAGTGTTACCTTACAACTTTGTGATACTGCCATAGATTAAAAATCACCTGCTGTTCTAGAGACAAAAGACCGAATCTATTTTAATCAGCTATGGCACTCCCTAGACAGCAGAACAGTAGAAGCTGGTAAGATTCCAACCAAGTAAGTACAGGCAAACTCACTTGATTCCATTTCAAAGGGTTCAAAGTCTAAGTAAGGAGAAAAATTATATTTTATTCTGCATAATGTTTAAAGAAAGACAAGGAAGTACAAGGAAGCTGCACAGGTTGCAATGATGAGAGGGGGAAGAGAAAAAAAATCTCAAAAAAAATAGTGTATTAAAGAAACCACTTGCAAGTTTTCATTAATTGTAGTCTAGCTTTGAAGAAAAGGGAGAACAGCAAGTATGGTAGGTTCTCAGTCAAGTTATTTAGGTACGGAATCCAAACCAGCTGCATTTTTTAGCAAATATAACCATAAAGAAGACTTACAAAGGTAACTGATGCCTAAAAGTAGTAAGAAGGCCAACAAAGGAAATACAGGGAGATAACTTTAAGCCTACCTCAAAAAAATTAGGGTGTGGGCCCCTGTATTTTGGGACTGTGCCTCAGACACTGGAAGTAATGGTCTTGCTGTTTCCCAAAGCACAGCACCACCTTGCCTCTCCTACAGCAGCAAGAAATTTCCCTACAGATGGACTGCACTTTCAGCCTCATGTAATATCTTATATTTTAAATTTTACTATTCTGCTAAATAATGAGTGGATCCTGATGTGTTTTTCCTGGGGTATAACAGCAATAATGTACAAAAGCAATAACATGTTCTCTTATAGCTAGAACACTCAGCACCCTTCAAACCTAACCTGGGTAAAAAAGAACAAATAAGGTTGAATCTTTTTCCTTTAATGTAACTGATATTTTCTGTGAATCAGAAGCATGGTTAGAAACACTTCTAACACCAACTTTTCATCATTTCAAGAACTGTAAGGAAGGCCTCCCTGGGACCAAACTGGGAATTCTGATGAACATATTTCAGTATGGAGCAGCTGACATGTGGAATCAAACTATGATTTAGCATTCATGGGTAGGATGTGTGATCACCAAAAGTATACCTGAACAAAAAGGGAGAGCCAATCCAATCAGACTTCAGGCTGTGCCAACAGAAATAAGTATATTTCTGTTCTGTGTTCTCCCTCCTTCTGTCACACACCAGCATGGTTTTGATAAGAAAAATGTGGGTATATATCTTACCCATGGTTACATCAAAGAGAATTTGTCTCTGCCTTTCCTCCTGATCACATTCTCCAAAGTCTACCACAACAGATTCTCACCCTGGAAATTATCAATGAGTGCAGGTGCAATCACCCTCGTTTTGCAAGTAGGCTGGAAAAATTCCTACACAGCATTTTAGTGGGTAGGCCCTTAAACATTTCTTTTGTACAGAAAAGGGAAGAATCCAGCAGAAAAAAATCCCAAACATCTCATGGAAATGCAATTCCTCTCCCATCTTAGCAACACCAATTCTCCTCATCAGTGCCACAAGCAATATCTACCTTTGCATTTTTACTTCCCCTATAACCTCAGAAATATCTCATGAATGCAGGGCTGGTCTTCTAAATACCACCCAAAGTAAAGCTGAAACACAACACAAAAGCTCATCTGCCAGTTCATCTGCCAGCTCTGCTGTTCCCAGTACTGGTGCCACACAGAGAAGGCAAGAAGGTGAAGAAAAAAGGTTGTGCAGAAAAAGCTTCAAGAAAACACCTAGCTTGCCAGTTCCCCTTGCAAACAAAAAATAGCTATCAAAGGTGAAACCTGCTCTGTACAATACACAGAAAGAAAAGAAACACTATAGAAAGGACATGTGCTGCAGAGTAGGAAGAGCAGAAATTCCCATCAACACTGTGAACTGGCTAAGATCACTGGTGAAAAAGAAAAAAGATATTTTAGGAAAAGCAAAGAAACCTAAGAACATGGTTAAAGCTACAGTGAAGAGAAATAATTCTTTTTTATCAATGCAACACACTTGCAACTGAGGGGAGCAGCAGAGAAGGGAAGCCACACTGATCCCACATCCACAGAAAATTCTGATCCTGAGAACAAATTTGCCATGTACCACAGACATAATAAGTGTCATCTGCCCCATGTGATGCTGCCAGAGATAGTGACAGTCTCAGCAAGTTTCTGGATTTGATGTATCAGGAACTGAGTTGCCACTGACCCACATGGAAAGAATAAACCTGAAAGGAGGGATTAGGATTGGCACAGGCAACTTGGGTTAAATTTGTACAATACTAAAAATCAGGTTGACATTTTTGTTTATGTTTCCCCTCTCCCCACCCTCCTGAGCTCTCATTATTAAAGAGTGAAGAACAATGTCAGATCTCACACAGAGTCAGCACGGCATGACACAGGAAGTCTGCACTAAAGAGATTTTATGGATATATGATTTCCAATGAGACCAAAACTTCCCCACAACTGCAGCTCTTCTGCTTCCAAGGCTTTCCCAAATTCTGGGGGTTATTGACATTTACCTAAGGACTTCTTTTCTAAATAAATAGAAAATTGAAGTGTTCTGGATCTGTCATAAACAGACAATCATAGTCTAATATGGGACATTGATCTGGGTACCCAGGCAGTCTGGAATCAGAGAAGCCCTGCAGCTGAGGCCAGAGCAACAAGAGGGATTTTGCATTCCCGTTATCTCCTATGCAGTCGGCTCCTGGCCACAGAAAACATGCAGTTGTGCTTTAATTGAGGATTTAATTTGGAGAGATTTTAGCTCTATGAAATCTCTGTAGAGGGGCATCTTCCCTGCCACCTCCCACAGAAAATGAGTGGTTGGAGTTATATGTCTCAGGTCATATTAGCAGAGCAATTTGGCTATCAATTGCAAGGATATTTAGGGAACTTATCAGATTGTAAAATACTGAAGTGTGATGACTATACAGCAAGTATGGTGGCCAGTCATCTGTGCCTGCCACACAGAAACTTTGAGTCCCAAAAGCAGAGGCTGTTGGCCAGTGAGCCCATCTCCAGCCCATTAAGGGATCTCCCCAGCAGAGCTGGGCTGCAGCACTGGTGCACCTTCACTTTCAGTGAGGCACACCAGCCAGAAGCTGTTCATCCCCTTCACCAAGTATTAACCTGGTGCTTATGCGACGCAGGCGCTTTCATATATTGTTCAGTGAGGGATTTTGGCAATGGTTTCATATTACAAGGCTTCTTTTTATATCCCCTGTTGCCTTTTTCAGGCCCTATCCACCCATTCCTTACAACTATTAATAAAGTATCCCTTCCTCCAGCTGTCAAACCAGGCTTTACAGTCTGTTTTTAAGCTATTGTTGCGCTAACAATTAAGACTTCACAGCTTAGCCTGCTTTTTCCCCCCTTAATGCAAAGTGCATTTTTAAAGGAGCTATATCAGCTGACAACTTGTCTTAAAAGCAGGCAATCAAAAAGCTAGAACCTAATGAAATGCTTCCAGGACTTTTTTTTAGTTCAACTCAAGTATTTCCCATCAATGCAGTTACTTCAGTAACACAAATTGTACTTCTCTGTATTAGCAGGAAGGAATTTGAGGGGAAAGCTAATTCTAAGCCAAGTATCCTGACAACACCCATGCTCATGCTGTCCTTTAAGAAGGCATGTCCTCTTGCTACCCCTGCATTGGGTAGAGTCACCCACACAACAGACAGAGAAATGGAATACCTAGGTTATTTATGCTTTACAATAGATATCCAGTGTAGCTGTTACACCTACTCCACACATGGTACAGTCAGCACTGATCTCACCACTGTCCTACCAGAAGACTGCATCTAAATAAATCTTCAGTAAAGCTCTAGGGCAATTAGGAGGTTGATGCCTTGAGAGGCTGAACCTGGAACAGAGACTAGACAGAGGTAAGAGAATTAAGTAGGTATGTATTAAAAGGTCTTAAAAGGATACACCATGGGCAGCACAAGAGCCTGACCAAGGCTACACCCAAGATGGACCCGAAATAATCACAAAATGGACCACCGGTCACAAGGTTTCACACTTTTATAAGTTTTGGTCCATTTGCATGTTTGGGTTAATTGTCCAATTACAACTTCAGGTTATGAATTCCCATCCTCCTTGTTTGCTCCCCTCAGTTCATTGTTTGTACTTGTGGACCTGAAGCTCATAATGGCTGTTCTTGGTTCTCAAGCTGGAAAGGGATTGTTTTGTCTAACTCCCCTGTGAAGAGAGCTTACTGACACCTAATGTGAAGCTCAGAGCTACACACCTAGGCAGCAGAGACTCTGAGAAACATGAAAGTTAAAACTTAAGGCATCAAGGTTAGGGAAGAGAAATGGAGAGACAGGGTAGTGTCACCGCTCAGCTTTACTTCCTTCAGCCTGGATCATGGCCAGGTACATATTCCAGTTTCCAGGACAGCAGTACCCAAATCTTGTCACCTTCATTCAGACAACCAAAGATCAGACATCAATGCAACGAAAAATGAACAAGGATTTTGTTCATACCCATGTTTTCTTCTTTTGTCTTTCCATGTCATATTGACAAACCACACAAACAACCGAGTTTCCCTACTCCGAAACTTCTCTGGTTTGGACCTTAAAAAATGGAGGTGTTCAAAGTAAACAATCACTTTGAATATCTTGGCCTATATCCCAGTAGGGAGTGAATCTAATCACGTACACAGCAACCTTCAAACTACACAAGTATGAAGCTCTAGAACAATAAAACTGTAAAAGGCATCATGGAAACAAAAAGCAGCATGACACAGCAACTAAGATCATGCAGCTTTCACTTATCTATTTAAATTGTAATTGGTCCTACTTGGTTTGCTAGGCCCTGCCATTAGTTTTCCCTTTCTTGAAAAGCAGCCCAAAGCACAGTTCTGATACCATCAAGTTTAAACTATGTGCAGAAAGAGCAACACTCCATGTTATGTTTTACCTGTGCTGTTTCCTCTTCCTTACTGGATATCAGAAGTGAAGGCATCCCAGATTTCTCTTATTCACTGCTGACTGTTCTTTTTCCTGTTGACTCAGCCTTTCAGAAGAGTTGTTACCTCTGCAGTTCTGGTATCATCTTTATTTAATGATAACATTAAGCTGTACAAAAGGTATATATACTTGATTAGTATTATTCTTTTAAAAAAGGTATATATACTTGATTAGTATTATTCTTTTATCTAAGCATACTCATTCACAAAACCAAAATGCATGGTGAGAAGTAACAGAGAGCATCAGTTCTTGAACAATAAAACCACTGAAAGAAAAGGTTTTACAAGCCAGCTCTGGTGCACAGACCACAATGTAAAAACTGCTAGATTAAACTATTTTCATTGTCTAGGATGGAAAAAGGATGAGACAAAGAAAGAATAAAATTAATCCTTGTAGAACCTTATCATAGCTAGAGCTGAAAAAAATTATGGAAATTTAATCCTATAAAAAACTTTTTTATTCAACATTTTTTCCTAACTTGGGATGATTAAGTAAATATCGGCTGTTTTGTTTTGTTGGGACTTTTTAAAAGAATTTTCAATAAGAAATAAAACTTCAGGGTTATTTTGGGAAGACATTCAAATTTTTAGTATTCATTAATTGAAAAATATTGTTTCAATTTCCTGGGCTCTTTCCCTCTTGCATTTTTCATGAGACCCCACAGGAGTGACCGTCTGCATCCTTCACCCTCTTCTATGGGACAATAATTGCCACAATTACCAAGCTCCTCAAAGAAAACTATTATTCTGATTTTTGGTGGCAAATACCAGTTGGCAAGCAAGCCCCGACCAGAAGAGACTGGGAGCAATAGGCATGCAAATAATAAATTGACTAGAGAAATACACCATAAAAGGGAAACACACAAATTACTCAAAACTAACTAGTCTTTTAATGGAAGGCTTCATTTTCTTTTCTAAAAGAAAAATAAAAAAAAACACAATGTTAAAAAAATATTTATTTTCATAACATCCTAATTTTTCAAAAGTTGTTTTAGAACATCACCTTGTTGGCAAATTCCTGCCTTATCCAGAACTGTCCCTTTTAATCTCTGGTATTTTATATTCCCTAAAAGATAATTCTCATTGTCAAGATCATCCTTGAATACTATATAAAAAGCAGGCTGGGGAACAACTGGTAAAGAAGTTATAGCAATATTTTCTTAAAATCTATTCAAGAAATTCTCTGTGTTAGGGTTAATATAATAAGCTTAGGATTCTGAACATTTAGGTATCACAATGCCATTGTAATTCAGTGAAGCAGGCCAGTTTGCTAATTAAAATATACAGAACTGGACAAAACATCACCTAACTTCTTTCCCAAGCTCTGCCACTGACCTACTGCAGCCTTGCTGAAGTTATTTTAACTATATTTAAAGGCTCTTGCTTCATACTGTAGGAGTTTTATCACATTGGAATTGGTTTTCCCAGCATGATTTATCATTATTTTATTTTTAAAGCAATTTTATTTTGTTAGAAAGATAAAACAATCTCATGAGAGAAACTTTCAAAGCAAATATTCCTCTTGGGTTTTCTGAGGTATTTTCTCCATCCAGACCAGATTGCTGCATACCTCCACATAACACAGGACCTGAGGAGAACAACAAGAGAGGAAACAGTTTACACTCTTGAAATGCCCACAGCTGTCTCAGACAACCTGGAGTCCTGTCAAGGCTCAGGACCACTGTATTTTATAGTCAGATGAGAATGCAGCTTGAATTTGGGCAGGAAACAAGTGTCACGAGCCCAAATCCCAGATTGCATGCCTGCCTTCACCATCCAGCTCACCCAGGGCTGAAATCTGGGAGACACCATTTGGGAGAGCCCACAAGGGCACTTCCAAAGCACAAGCTGTGTTGTCCATGGGCAAAAGGAAGGCAGCATCACTGAGTGCCAGGATACAAAAGGAGCCTGTATGCATGAGAGCTCTTATCACTGGCAGGCTCTAGGACTCACAAAGTCAGAGCAACAAAGCCCAAAATACATATATATGCAAAACAAGCCGCAAACTTTCCACCCTGATGAAAGCACAATGAGGAAAATCTTTCCGACAGATTCCCAGCTGGTTTCAATCTACAGCCTGAGCATATCTAATGGGTCTCTTTTATCAGAGGAGCTCTCATAGGGCTCTGGCTGCTACTGAGGGCACTTTGCCACTGTGCAGACCCCTCAACAAAAGTCTGAGGGGACACTGTGTACTCCCTACATGAACTGAAGCATGGGGTAATAGAGACCATCTGCTCCAAATTCTGGCCCCACTTGCACCTTTATTAATCCATTCCAGCTCCTAAGATCTTACCCCAGTTAATGTGGCTGCCCATATGAAAGTATCAGAAAAACGCAAAACATTCCTCTCAATAATCTTCCTTCTTGTAACAGCCTCAGAAGTAAATGAAAGGATTCTACCCATATGAACACAAAGTGACACCTGGTCTCAAACCCTCCTGGGTGAAACCCTGGCTTCTCTAGAGACAGAAGAATTTTCTGTTAGGAGAGGCTCAAGAGAAGCTACCACATTCAGTAAAATCAGGACCTTTACCTTCTACAAACTACTAAAAGAGAAAAAAGTTCAAAACACCACATCCACTTATGAAAATTTGCATGCTAGGGACTTGATGAGAAGTTATTGTGGGTATGTCATGTAAGAAAAAAGTACTTCAAATGTATATTACTTTATTTTTTCCCCCTGTGGTTTACAGATTTGTCCTGGGACAATGGAAGTTTATAGAGAAGGGGGAGATGTCTGTGATCAAGGCAGCTTTCAGCTCTTCTTCCTACAGATACCCTGTGGATATTGCTGTATTCTCCAGAATCCAAGCTTCCACTTAAAAAACAATGAAGTTTCTAGCCCATCTGGGTTTGCGGAAGCAGAATGTAAACAGATGTACTGTTGTCTTATTTTAGAAGCTATAGCAAGCCAGACTGAAACAATAGCACTAAGAAATGTCAACTGGTCCCATTCATCTCAGTGGGGTGGGGTGTTAACTTTGAAGCCTAATTGTGACCACTTTAAAGTCAGCCTTTTAACCATTTCACTGCTATTACTACACCAGAAACTCCAAAGTAATGAACTTACCCAGCCTCTGTGTTTGCATGCATTACTCCCAGACCTTCCATTCACTTGAAAAGAGCACTGCATTACAATCGAACTAGTTTGAATATTCTTTTACTTAAGAAGTTAGCTGAATTGTTTGCTACTGTCTTTCAAAATTAGGGTTAAAAGAAAGTCAAGGGTGAAAGGTTAGCTTCATTGTTGCTGCTCTCAAAAGTGCAACACGTGGGATTTCATGCTTTTTGCTTTGATCAGGGTGCCCGGATGGCTGTTCATTTCAATAAACAGACAAACAGCTACATACAAAACTAAAAATAATGACTAAAAAAATAAAATTGCACCATCAATCAGGAGCAAAAGAACAAAAAAGACATCCTAATGATGAGGTAGCATATACTTGCAAGAATAAAAAAGAGGAAAGAGGAAAAGAGTCTTCATTTTCAGAAAGTTATAGCTGCCATTACCTTAAATCCAAGATGTAATAGCCCTGGTTTGAGTACACAGAAGCTGTCTCTCTAAAGATATTTCACATTCCATTTCCAATAAGCTGTTGCATTCATCCTCTGTGGTCACTCTGATGTCTGATTGTGAATTTTCCTCTGGGACCAGCATTGAAGAGTAGTATCTCTACACACACATATTTGTGCAAACCATAATGCAAACATTACTTCAGATGCTCTGAGAACTCATGCTGAACATTATTAGGGCAAGCTACTCTACTCTAGCTTATGTTTCTGAGCATCCAGAATCATGCTGACATGAGGATTCACAGGAGTCACGGTGATGCAGGGCATGATGGAGATGCCTGGCTGGGTTTGGTGGGGTTTGCCACACACCTCCTGTCTGTGCTCAACCAGCCCTCCTGCCCACCTGCACTGTGCTGCCCACTGTGTCTGCCATGGGTCATGGGTGACACAGGACAGCTGCAGAGCAATATCTGCACTGCATTAATACTTCTGCAGTTACATCTACACTGACAATCCTTTTCACCTGTCATTTTCTTCCTAACATCACAGATATTGGGCTGAGAAGTCAACACTAACATCACCACTGCACTACTCTGGTCATCGTTAGTACATCCATGCTAGGTACCCTGCTAGGTAATGCTGGCATGTCTCAAGATGTCTCCCTTGCATCTACAGCCACTGGCTCAGGGGAAGTGAAAAAGGAAGGGCAGCACCTCAGGTACATGACAGAGCAATGGGAATAGCATCACCCAGCAAAGACCTGGAACAAGCAGCTGGGACAGGAGCAACCTCTCTAGGTTATGAGGCAGCAACTGGAAGAAAGTAAAGCAGAAGGATCTGCAGAAGCCATACTATATTTATTGAATGATATAACTACTTGAACACACGTTTTCACTCCTGAATAAAACCGTCTTTACTTGGGAAGGTCTTGAATTGATACGAGTGCCTATGTGTGGTAAAGGAATAAGGTTATTTTGGTAGAACGGGGGAAATTTTCCTTCCTACACAATTCCTAGGTGTTTGTGCAAACAAAGGTCTAATTCATCCAGTGCAGGTTCTTTTGCCTGATACAACAGACAATACCCTGACATTGTTATTAGGAAGTTATGAATGCACAATCCTTCCAAGTGTAAATCCCACTGTTACCTGGACGTTAGGGTGTTTGAAATTTGCCCTAACTGCTAAAATCACCAGATGCACATCCCTCTGTTGTCAAATATTCCTGTTTCCTAAATCTTGATCTCTAAACTGCAACATAGGATTTGTAAAATGCTCTTCACATAAAGCTGAAAATAAACCTCTGCTTTCACTTAAAAGCCTGTGTTCACTGACTTCACACACAAAAGGCCTGCTATGGAAAGACAGATAGACACTTTCATTTTCTATTAACTTCAATCAGCTGCAGTGAGGTGATCGGTGCTCTGCAGAAGGTGCTGAATAAGATCATATATAAATTCACAGAAGTGTCTGAGTGCTGTTGAACATGTTTTCTGCAGATGCTTAGAGGTGCAGAACAAAGGCAGCTGAAAACAGACCTGGTAAGTTTACAATTTTACTTTATCGCTGTATTAAATTCCCATTCAACATCCATAAGGCACCACACACTTGTTATAGAAAAAATAAACAGCCTCATAAAAACTATTGCCAGTCTTTGCTCTGCCATGCACCCCTCTTCCTTACAACTGCTAGCAAGTAAAACAGCCCCCTGCCAGCTGGATGTGCAGAAGTCTGTGCTGGCAGTGTCCTGGTCAGGAGCAGCACTGCAGGCTGGAATGCTGACGCTGGCAGGGCTGCCGCTGCGTTTACTTAACACTCATTTCTCTCAGTCTGCTTCAGACCAGAAATGCAGGCAATGAAAGCCCATCCACCCTCTGAGAACCTCGGCCACAGCGCTTCAGCAGAGCAGGGTTTGTGCAGGTACATGAAAGAGGCATTCAGGAGACACTCCCATTCAGGGGAGGCAGAAAGAGAGCCCCCAGCTGTCTCTGGTTACCTTTTATTGGCATGAAAAGGAGGAGGCAGGAGGGGCAAGGTTTCAGGACAAATGAAAAACAAGCTTTCTAAGATTCACTGTTCAACCTCAAAACAAAAGCTCAGCAAATTTAAGCTACAGGATCTCAGTTCCATTTCTTTCAGTTTAGTAATTTATTACAGAGAAGAGAATGAAAAACCTGCTTCAAATAGTGGATTAAAGATTACCCTGAAACAGAACTAGAGAAAAAAATATATATATTGTGAATTCAGCTAGTTTCTTGGGCAAAAACTATACATTATGAATGGAGCTAGTTTCTTAGAGAAATAAAAAACAAATTGGCAAACACATGAGAAAGTGTACCATGTTAGTAGGTATCCAAGGCTCCTTGGTTAAAAACATTTACATCATGATGAAAGCTGGACAAAACAGCTGTCACAGAAGCATTATTGAGTAGAGGGTTTAATCTGTAAACACTTGCCACCCAAATTAAACCAAGATCTGTTGAGATGGACATTGAGAAATGCCTCATTTTGGAAGGCAGGCCCAATGGCCTCCTTGAGGAAGCCAGCCCAGGGCAGCATGAGGGTGTGAGGGCACTGGCAGGAGCTGGGCTGGAGGAATGCTGGCCAGCAAACACCCCCACCCCTCAGCCATCAGGGGCAGACAGCCTGCAAAGCCCTGCACTGTCCCAGCCTTGCTGCAAGCCTGAAGAAAACCCAGTTTTGTGTCTTGCATGACATGGCAGACTCTTCCCCAGGCGTGGATGCCCAGATTATTTCTGGGTTTGCTGTATGGAGCACCTCAGAGAGAAGATGGATGGGCCAGAGCTTCCTCTCAGAAGGTTCCCCTTAGAAAACCCAGTGCCCCCATGCAGCCATGTGCAGTTTGTACCATGAGCCTTCTGGGTATGGGGACCCTGCATGGTATGGGATGGCTGCAGGGATCTTCCTGCAGGCCAAAGCACAGCCCTCTATAGCAAAGGTCAGCACAGCTGCTCAGCAGGGGTGAAGAGAGAAGTCTTAGTAAAGCATCCTAGTCCTTCCCATTCCATGGGGACAGCACAGAGTTCCTCCTTCACAGGAAATGTAAGGTCTGCAGAAAACAGAGGAGGGGACTGTGGAAGTACAGATTTAGTGACCAATAAATACGTTCAACAATTAAACAGGTTATGTCAGTGGCAAAAAGACAAATAATAACCATAATACCTAATATTTACACAATTCTCTATTCAAACCTATTGTTTTTCTGTAGAGGTGTACAAATATTACCCAACCAGTCACCTGAGGACAAATGGTCAAAGCTTTGGCTTCCTGATGAACTGCAGAAGTCTTTTAAAGTGTGACCACATGCTCCAAAGTTTGTTGTATTGAATCTAGGCAACACAGGTTTAGGTACACTTGTGTAAATAACTTGAGATAACTCAGAGCCCTTTACAAATTTAGGTGGCCTTCATGACAACTAAATATAGGTGGGTCTGTAAGACCTGAAAAAATGATACATACTAGGTTAGGGGCAACTTCAATCATTTTTCAAAGACCAGTAATTTACATCTAGGTTATGAGTTTTTACTAATATTTCAATTTCATGGCATGTCTCTAAGGTGTTATCTACCCAGAAAATAAACAACCTGGTTGAAGTAATGGTCTGGATAGCATAGAAGTAATGGTCTGGATAGCTATCACCTTGATACACAATGAGACAGAAAAACAGGAAGGATTTATCTGGAATTCATTTGGCAGTACTGTAGAATTTTCTGCAAGGGAAAATATGCAGTTGTTTATGTAATTCCTTAATTCTTTGAAGAGGTGAAATGTATAATTCAGAAAAAGCTCTTAGACACACTTAAGAAGAAAAATGTTTTACTCATTACAGTAACTTCTTTTTTTCTAGATTATTCTTTTAGTCTCTTAACATATCTTGAAACAAACATGGACTGCCAAATATTTTAATCAGAGTGCTTCTGATCTGTAATCTCTTTGATACAGATCCTGTCTTAATAAATCATTTCACAGTCTTGAAGAACCATTAGAAGCAAATTACAGCATTTGCAGTTGTAGCATAAGTTACTTATTCTCATAGGTGATATGAGAGATTAAAAACAAAGGTCAAAATTCAATATTAATACCTGAATATTTAAAAATTGGTTCATAAGGACTTGATTCCTGTCACTTTTCAAGCCATGTTACTGAAGCTGAACTTAAAACCTGACGTTAAATGTTATGAGAGAATATGATAAGGTGCATTCCTAGAGAAACCTGACTGAAGGCAACAGAAATCATCCCAGCAACATGAATAGCATTTGGTCAAAGCCTGTGTTAAATGCACTCTGAGGAGGGAGAAAAGGTCATAAGCAACTGGATTTTAATCTCTTAGGCTCCACAGCAGGATTAATTATTTTGTCTCAGATCTTTCACACACCAAATACATTTTGGATGCTACGTTAGAGATAAAAAAATCAGTATTACTCATTTTGCTAAAAAGAACATTTACTGGCAGCATCTTTTCATATCTTCTCAGATTTTATGTTGGGGGAAAATCTTGGAGGTGGGAAAGTAGATACTCTAGGCAGGCATCTGCTAAACACAATGCAGTTGTACTCTGTTATTAAAACTGTACTCTTTCAAGTGTTTTCCATGGAATTCATTTTCTATGCAACATTCTGTTTTACTAGTGTCCCAATATGACCCGAATCAATTTTTCATCCTGGTCATCTTTGCCCACCTGACTCCTCACTTGCAGAGTCCTTTTAGCACTTCACTGGGCAAGCTACACTTCCCTTTCTGTTTCAACTCTAAGGGGCAATTGTATGCCAGTCCCTCATGGAGAATGGACACTACTGCCCCTGCACCTGAGCTCCCACCCACACAGCCAGCATTGGCAGAGTGTTGAGGAGATTCTTCTGGTTCACATTTCAGTGCCAAGTTCAGCTCTGTCATGTGCTACTCAGCTCCCCTTCTCTTCTCCTTGATTGTGTGCTCTTCCCTTCTTCTCCTGAACCGTCCCACCTTGCAGAGCAAAACAAGGAGCTGCTCACCCTGGACATGGCCAGAGCCTGCCCAGAGTATGCTCCAAGTGTGGCCCCACGCTACCACAATCTCATTAGCACCAACTTGGAAGTCCTACCCATTTCTGGGGAAAGCCTGCTGCTCACATATCACATTGGCTCAGCAGAGAAGTAGTAGTCTTTGAAGAGATTTAGCTGTATTCAAAATGAAATATTTTTTCCCACTTATACATATGAACAGCTGCACCCCACTTTTAACATCCCCCTTACCCAGGGCAGGAGAACAAACAGAAAGCTTTCCAGGAGCAGTCTTCAACAAAAATAACAAAAAAACTGACTTAAGAGGTCCAAAGCCACATAGGAAGACCCATCCTTTCCAAAAAGTGGAATAATTAAAAAGAACAATCCTGGTGATAATATTATTTGCTAGTGAACAGATCCAAGCTTTGTGTGACTTGCAACATGTAATAGTAAATGCAAGAAATTGCAGCATCTCACTTGCAGGAAACACCAACCAAAGTATTTAGTACTAAATATGATTAGAAAATACTAAAGAATTTGAAAGCTTTGCTTCAGATATTGCCATCATTATTTACTGATTGCACAGGAAATTCACATGACAAGCTTGTTAGAAAGGTTTTGTAATTTGTTTCCAAATGTACTGTAATAAAATGTCGATAAACAGTTTGAAATAATGAAATAAATCAATTTATCATAAGTCACACTGATTTACATCAGCATTTACCCACCATGAGATGGTTGGTATTTAGAGAAGTTTTGGTAAATATTTTACTGACTCACTTCTTCAGGGCATTTCTGTCAGAAGGAGACCTCAGAAAGGAGACAATAGACATATTTTAGAGGAGCATGCAAAAGTAGTTTCAAGAGAGGCACAGAAATAGAGATTAAAGAGCAAGATTAATGAAAATTGAGATATCATCTGTTGTTTATCCAAAGTTGCCTTTGGTTTAGAAACTAGGCTTATGAGAACATGTGCTATCTGTCAAACCAGGCAAAAGCACCAAACTCTCTCACTCCACCTTGACTCCTTCTGCTCTTTTCCTGTATTTCAATGCTACGTTGTACACAAATAAAAAATTATTACTATGTTTTTACAATTCTTGGGAGTCCCAGAAATATGTCCCAGATTGGGGAAATCCTTTTCTCTGGACACACTTACTCAGCATCACTACAGTCCACTACAAATATGCTACTTACACTTCAAGCTGTTGCCACTGCTTCACAAAGCAGACTGAAATTTTGTACACAACTTTGACTCCTATGAAGCAAACATAAGTTTCACAAAAAATTCCTTCCCACCACTGAGAGAAAATGGCCTATGAAATTCATACTGCACAAAACCAGAACACAACACTTTGCAAGAGGAAGCCACTATGTGATGCTGCAGGGGGAAGAAGGCATGACTTAACTTGTTCAAAGCACTTGGACTGAGCACCTTATTCTTATCACTTATCCCATGTAACAGAGCTCATCCAATTGATCTTTATTTGGATAAGTAACTTTGATGACCTCCTGGTCATTAAAGTGTTTTTGCTTTCTATCTGTCATTACACAGACCAAAGATTACAAAGTTTTATTAAGTCCTTGGGAAGAGGTTTTCCTAACAAGCTTTAAAAAAAAAAAAGTACTTCATCATTCAAAGAAAGTGCAGAGAACTTTCATGAAGACTTTGTCTGCTTTCCAGAGTTGTGGCTTTTTAATTTCTGCAAGGTAATACAAGCAAGATCAGTTTCTGGGAAAACACCTGAAAATATTGTGAATAGAATCAGAGAGTAACTGAGTTCAAAGGAACCCATCAGGATCATCAAATCCAACTCCTGGCCCTGCACAGGACACCCCAAGAATCCCACCATGTGTCTGAGAGCATTGTCCAAATGCTTCTTGAGCTCTGTCAGGCTGTGACCACTTCCCTGGGGAGCCTGCTCCAGTGCCCAGCCACTCTCTGGGTGAAAATTTTTTTCCTGATAGCTAGCCTAAATCTCTCCTGACACAACTTTGTGCCATTTCCTTGAGTTCTGTCTCTGCTTACCACAGAGATCAGTGTCTGCCCCTCCTCTTCCCCTCATGAGGAAGCTGTGACTGCAATGAGGTCTCCCCACAGTCTTCTCCAGACTGAACAGACCAAGTGACCTCAGACACTCCTCATATGGCTTCCCCTCAAGGACTTTCATCATTCCCTTGTCCCTCCTTTGCTCACTCTCTAATAGTTTAATGTCTTTTTCATACTGCAAGGACCAGAACTGCCCCCAGCACTCAAGGTGATGCTGCACCAGAGCAGAGCAGGACAATCCCCTCCCTTGCCCAGCTGTAATGCTGTGCCTGATGCCCCCAAGGACAGGGATGTCCCTCCTGGCTGCCAGGGCACTGCTGACTCAGATTCAGTACAAAACATGAGAGAGGTAACGTGGAGGAAGTCAGGAGATTGAGCTGCACTCAGGATTGTGCATCACTTTACAGACATTGCTGTGTTACAGGTGGGAACTAGAGATGGAGGTCTGTATGGTTTCTATTATATTGTTGTCCAAAACAACTCTTGAAGATAAAAAGACACAGCTGTGAAGTACACTGGGATGGGGTTTCAGAAAAATAACTCCAGTTTCATATCTCAGTTGGGTCATGCTCACACACCAGGAATGAACATTTTGTAATTGCATTGACCAAACAGGACTTGTACAAACAAGACCTGATTAAGTTTCGTCTTGCAGTTTCCAATGTTCAACAGCAGCTTTTTCTAAGAATTTCCTATTCCTGGAAATTATGAATTTTTCATGAGTCCTCTGATGAACTGTGAACATGTAATGGGAGATTAGGTGATTGATTGAAATTAATTCTTGTATCCAGTTTTGAACTTAATTAGCTTGGTTTCAAACAATGAACTGTAAACGTACTGAGAGTATGCTACTCCAGACACTAATTATACTATTTCTAAATTGTTCTAGGACATTTCTATGTGTTAATATACCTTGTTTACAAATGTTTCCAGGGTTTTAAGCAGTTTAACTTAATAACCCCAGTAAAGACTAAGCCTAAAGGTCACTCATGTCAGTATGATCAAAGTCCCTCTGTTCCTAAATGAATATACAATTCAGTGCAATGTAGCTGACACAATGAAATTGCTGCTGCCAATTGATATAGGCAAACAGATCACAGCAGAAGACCAAACCATTCCTCTCAATGTCATCCCACACTTCTGATCAGAATTAAAAAAAAAAAAAATCTCCAATCCACCTTTCACCTAAAACAAGAAAAATTAGTCAAAATCACTAGAGGAGGATGACATGAATGCAGTAATCCATCCATCATTAAAACACCCACAGACTGTCTAAGTAGAACCTCACTTTTTTCTTGTCCAGAGTGGCACTTTTAATGTAAAGGTTTTGGATGGGTTTTCTAGGGGGAAAAAACCTCCACAAACCAGAAAGAAAATGTAAAAAAAAACCTATTTCAACATTTAAACTAAGCCATCTTGCTGCCTATATTAACAAAATATAATAAAACATAATATCAATTATAATATCTCAGGTTTTCCTAGAAAAAATATGCATATTTAAATTTCTGGGGGCAAGGAAGGGTGAACAACTGCTGGAAAAAGATACACTGACATAAAGGTAAGAAGAGGAAAAGTGAGGGTGTATCCCAAAGGCTCTTCCATTTCCTGTTGCCACTACAGGAAAGGACAAGAACTGAGAAGGTTCCTGTCTGCTGCTGGCTGGCTTTGTATATTCCCTGGTGTTTTACTGCTTCAGTCTTGGTCTCAACAAGAGTTTTCTTACCCAGGTATCTGTATCAGTTATTAGCAGTAAGACTAGAAAGAGATAACTCAGCAGCAGAAAGGCAACTCTTCTCTCTACAGAAAAGAAGTTGTTGAATAGAATCAGAGACAAACAAACAAACAAAATCCAACTAAACAAAAATAAACAAACAAACAAAAAACCCACCCTCAGGCCAGATTTTCTAAATTTAAACACTTCTGACAGCATCATAGTTCATATAGCTGTGTTGAAAGAATGAGACTATGGAATCTGCCTGTGGCCATATCTGAGAACTCTCCTGTAAATGGCCCATGTCTGTGTTAGCTGCCTCCTTCAGCTGCTGGAAGTGGGTGCCTGTGTGCAGCCTGCCTCTTGGAGTGGCCTCTGCAATGACCAAAATTTCCAAAATTACCAGATTGCTCTAAAGGGTTGGGGCAGGGAAAACCATGGCCCAGATGGGAACATTCCCAGGCACAGCTTAATTCATTGCAGGTACTTACACAACAGTACTGTCTTTTTAAACTAGAATTCTAAACCTTCCTTTTTCAGGAGGCAGTCACAAGTCACCAGCAATCCTGTTACTAACTAAAGGTGCTTGCAAGGAAAACTAGAGGTGTTCACTCTGCTGAGTTCAGGGATGAGCTGCAGGTTTTTGGGAGGTACCTAAGAAGCAGGTACACCTCAATAGCACCACAAAGACAGGCACCTTATCATGGGCTTATAATTTTGCTTTATGGAACTTTGTGTAAGAGCCCTTGGAAATTCTCAGGATGTAACACACAAGCGCGTGCACTGCAAACAGCCTCTCACCAGCTCTGTTTGCATTGCTACTCCTTAACCTGAAACCTCAGGTTTAAATAACTGTCAGTTGATTTTATCAGTGTTTGGTTTATGAGTCATTCAGCCAGCACAATGGGCCGAGGAAGAAAACAGCACCTTTACACACATGCCCTAATTTTTCTGCTGCCATGGGAAGCCGGAGAAGCAGAGAGAGGGCACAGGAAGGAATTGTAGCCTGAACAAAAATATATGTTCCAACCCAGAGCTCTACCTGTTAGGCACACAAAACTCATAAATCAAGTCATGAGCAGAACAGGAGGAAAACAGCTCTGGGACATTATACCAAATGTTTTGGTATAGTTTCAAGTTGCAGCAAGAAACTTTCTGCTAAATTGCTTCCTATTTAAATTTGCTCCTTTGCACAAACCACATATTTCCATACTTATTTTTTTTCTTTTTTTTCCCACCACTGAGTCTCCAGAAATTTGAAAATAGGGGAGGGGGAGAACAATCACTGCTCTGGATTTAGTTTTATACAAAGGTCATGTAAAGGAGGAAATGTCTGCCCTCCCACACACAAGTGCTAAGGACAGTTTTGCTAAAATTAGCCACTGTTGGAAAAAGCAGAGAATCGAGTTGTTCTCATGAGTCTTTCTCTTTTCAGCAGAACTCTGCACCATCTCAGAGCCCAGCAGACTCAGCCTTGCCTGGTGCTGAGCACCTCGTCTGGCCACTGGCTCCAACAAAAACAGCAGAAAGCAAGGCACAGTTGCCAGTCTCAGATTGCACAGATATGCCCAGACTGGAATCATCTGGGATGCATTAGACTGGGAAATCTCTGTCTGTGCTAACATACCTGCTTTTCATTCGGGGCAAGAGTCATTGAAACAAGATTTATACGTTAGACTGCGCTGATAAAATTGTGTCAAAACCTGGGTTGGTCACTCTTATCTCGACATTAAAATTAAATATTCCTATGAAAACTAGCCTTGACTTTTGTGGCACAAAGTAAATAAAAAACTATTTGTTTTGTTTAAAGTGGTGAATTGCAGATATCAGAATAAAACATAAGGACAGGAGTGGAAAATTTTGCATTATGGCACTTGGTGATTCATTATGTTTTATCTGTACTACAAAGTAATTTTCATATTCTCTGTAAATTGTTATAGCTTCTAAACCTGATCACAATTTCAACAGTAACAGATCAAAACCAGTATGCAAATACTGATTTCATATCTTATGTTCAGGTCTTGCTAGCAATTG